CTTGGGGTAAGCGAAAGGTGTCTAAAACTGGCGACTTTGACTTGAGTTAAAAAAAAGGCGGGGACTTAAAAATGCTCCTCGCCACCGGGGCCCGGGCCACCGCCAAAGGCTACCTTTGGATGGCCCTCGCGGAGCCGTCCATCGGCCGACCTAGGCCGGCCCGTAGCTCCCGGTTGAAACTTCAGCCGCGAGCGGGGGCTACCATCGTTTGACGGAGATAACTCCCACGGAAGTGTGCGCTTCGTGGGGCGGCCCGGGGCGGGCGGCGGCCCCGCCGGTCTCGGCTCCGATGGTGGTGTGCATGGCGGGGGTTGGGGTCCCGACCCCTCGCCCGAGGCGGGCACCGGAGGGGCACCAGAAGGACGCTGTGAATGGGGTGGAGGGAGTGGAGGAAGTGGAGGGGGTGGAGGGGGTGGTGGTGGCGGTGGGAGCGGGGGTGGGGGAGAAGGTGGAGGGGGCGGAGGAGGTGGAGGGGGCGGAGGTGGAGGAGGGGGTGGAGGGGTAGGGGGAGGTCCCATCAGAGATGACGGGGCCGCCCCCGGCCCACCAGGACCTCCACGGACAGAGGACGCTCGACGCTCCTCAAGAGCCTGGGCCATCCTCCGCCCTAGTCTGGCGTCCTGCTCAAGCCGCTCCTCCCGACCGCGGCGCAGAGCCGCCATGACTGCAGTCTCCCTGGGCGGGGGTCGACGGATCTCCGGAGACGTGAACGGGGCCCGTTCGACAGAGCGCGGCGGTGGGGGCGGGCCCCGGCGACGACCCCGGGCGAGGGTCCACTCACCACCCCGCGGCGTGGCCGTATCCTCGGGGGCGGCTGAAGCCTCCACCCCCGCTCCAGTCTCATCCTCTCTTCCTCCCCCACGGGAGGGGGACGAGAGTCCTCGCCTCCTGCTTGGCGACGTCTGCGTGGCGGAGCACGACAACGCTTTAGGGGGCTCCTGTTGAACTGATGAGTTGCTGTGACTGTTGGCATCTGGGACAAAGCAGAAGCCGAATGACTTCAGAATCGCTATTAACTGACCGATGCTGTTGTTGGTATCAGTTTCAGTGGGGCAGCGCTGTCTAGAACCGTTGGCCACACTAGCATAAGACCGCTTGGGATGGAGGGCAGCAAAGCGGTCTCGGGCCTGACGAAATGACAGCCTTTCGGTGACCTTCAGGGACATTATTTCTTTTTCTCTCTGGAGGGCCGGGCATCGCCCATCAAACGAGGAATGTGGAGTCTGAGAGTCGTCACAATTGACGCATCTCAACTCGGACGACGAACATTCGGCACTGCTATGGTCATTTGCCGCACAGCTCCCGCATGCTGGTCTGTTCCGACAGCTGTCTCGAGTGTGACCGAATCGGAGACACTGAAAACAACGCATGGGACTCGGGACATATGGTCGAACTTTCACGGACAGATATCCTATCATCACCTCCCTCGGCAGTTCCAGCGAGTTGAAAGTCAAAATGATACTGTGCGTGGGTGCGAGAGCGCCACTTCTCTTGGTGTAGATGCGGCGGGCGGCGGAGACCCCAAACTGTGACAGGCCTTCGGCGATCTCGTCGTTTTGCATGCCCTCCAGATCGTCGCAAAAAATGACCCCTCGGCTGGAATTTTTCGTGCGATGCGGCGAAACGCTGACCGAAAGGTTTACTTCCTTCCTGCCCTGCTGATCCTTAACTGTGTATGTGAAGTGAGTAGCTTTCAGGGCCCTTTCCGCCTCTCTATCGTCAACAAACTCTACTTCGATGCCTCCGTCTCTAAGTTTTTCACACCTCGCAATCTTACCAAATCTGTCACAGCCCTCTCGTCTCTGAAAGGGAGACAGCGACGCGAGTTTTCGTTCGTCGGATGTGAATATAAGAACTTTTGGTCGTGCTCCACCGACTGCACTAGGTGCAAGGGGTTCAGCCGAGGCTGTGGTCCGTGGGGGTGCCAAGTGAGAATCCATGGAAAGTGTAATTGTTTCGGTCCCGCAGCCTCCCACCCACCTCGGAGCCCAACTGGGGGACGGCCACACTCCCCCGTAGGGTGGTGGTCCGCCAGGAGTACTGCAGGACTATACGGGGGCCGGGACGCCAAAAGCAGCAAGACGAAGCCGCCGGGTACGGGGCCGCGTGAGCCGCGGCCGCCGCAGAGCCATGCGGCACGGGACCGGACCTGATCCCGCGCGCGGACATGGATACGGTGGCGCTAAGCCCCGCGCTGAAGGAATCAGGCGGCCCCTGCACCCGGCGGCAACCCCCCGCATACCCGTCGCCCCTGGACTTCTGTGCTAATGTCCTGTTTGTGTTGCAGAGGGCGAGTTCCCATGTGAAATACACACATCAGCTATGAAGCCTGCATGTGACTGTCTGAGCACATCATCTAATCTAGCATGTATGATCTAATCTTAAGGCTGAAACAGACTCTTTCCGCGTTCAGGAAATCGCATGCGAGAACCTATTCAAATACGTTTTAATTCTTTTCGCATCAATCGCTTGCGGGAGGTGCGTGCGATTGATGCGAGCGTGCTTCCATGTATTTGAATAGGCTCTCGCATGCGATTTCCTGACTGCGGAAAGAGTCTGTTTCAGGCTTTAATGATGCAGTACACTTTTCTGTAATTATCGTACCAGACATACACAATGCTCTTGAAGCCTACTGCGGCCGCCTCAGATGCACGTAAGCTCGCTCGAATGGATGGTCCTTTCCTACCCAGTAACTGCCGAATGGAAGTATTCAATCGTGATACACCTTGAGGATTGATCCATTCATTTTTTTAGAGGCTTTAGAACACAGTGCAAACCGGGCTGAATAGATTGGGCCAACAAAAACATTCCACAGTGCTCTGAACAAAGTTTGTTCTCTGGATCCATTACGACCCCGTCATGAATGGATGGGTCAGCAGGGCCGCAGTACCGCAGCCACCTTGGCACGTTCCAACCGGACAGTACAACAACGGTACACGTCATCACCACAACAGACAGCTATAGGAAGAATCACGACAAACGGGCATGCCTGGGCGTGCCCGTCATAAAAGGGCGTGTTCCCGGCATCAACGAGCGTGCCCAGGGCACTAATGGACGTGCCAAGAGCCCTTAACAACGTGTCCAGGACATAAAACGGCGTGCCTTACCCCGACACCAGACAGCCTTCGCGACGTTTCCTATTGACGAACAAACCATGCATTGTGTATGCACCCCTACCTCTGTTGAAAGTTATGTCAATGCCCGTGAAGCAAATCCACCGGATGTTTGGTGTAAAATTATACCGTTACTGGACACCACTGGGCGTCATTATTTCCCACAAAAGAGACACATACTCTGTTCACATATTGTAAAAGTTCCGGACTGGCGTCCATAAAAGCTCCCTGCTCCTGTGTCCCGTGTTCCGGTGTCCCTCACGACAAGTTACAAAGCAGGCCGTAGTCGTGTTATTCTATAGATCAATAATTCTAAATAATTCAAAAAGGGGTAAAGTCTCAATAATTCAACGTGGTATAGAGTGGTGCTAATCAAGCATATTGATGAAACCACGAAGTGCAGAGTGCGTGATTCCGTCGAAAAATCGTTCTTTGTGGGCTTTGCGGACATTGCCATGCACAGCCACAGGTTTGCAGAGGTCACACGGAGCTGCAATTTTCAGAGACCCGAGGTCGCCGTTACGGATGCGCCCAGAGTTGTATGCGACTAACTGTCCAAAGTGAAAGGTCATCTAAGGGCAGTGAACTGAGTGGCGTTCTGTGTTCAACAAGGCTTCCCCCGGCCAAGCTGTCAGACTCAGACGTACCTCCGTAAAATGTCATGTCACATAATGTTTTCAGAAATACAATACACTCAAGGAGTCAAGTACAGCAGCCTGTGCAGTGTACAGTGTACACTTGTACAGGTCACACAGGACCAGACAGCATTTTGATGAGAGTACAATATTGCATTGCTAGATGACAAAAAGTACTGATCAACAAGACACTAAACATCATGTCATTGATGCCAAATAGGCTTTTGCCAGCAACCAACCAAAAGCAACAGTTGGGGAATATGTAAACGATGTTTGGTGGGTGCCTATTGCCCAGTAATAGGCAAAGTTTCAGTGCAATCGACCGTCATCCTATAACTACCTATTCTAGGCTGGAAAATTTTTAAACCTCTGACTGGAAATATTGCATGTGCTGTGATGGTTATCCCCACACAACAGAAGGTAGTCTGATCAATTGCAGAAGGGAATGGGGCTAACAAAGGGAGTAGACTGTAAGTCAGTTGATCCAGTGGTTGCTTAGAGCACATAAGTTTCCAAAAGCATGACTACAGCTGTCACCTGCTAATACTAAGAAATTGCCATCTATCTAACAAAAAAGTTCCTACTGACATTTTACTTATGACAGTAATAATAAAATTGCGGGTTGCGGGAGTTTTCCTCTGAATAATGAAAGCTTATTGTAAACACAGACTTTTAGGATGGAGTTTCTGTTAGAGCATGTTGAATACAATAAGAATTGGAAAAAGGCTTCAATATGGCCTTATGCTCAAGACTATCAATGTAATAGGCAAAAAGGCACATTGCACAAAAAGACAAGGATTATTCCCACTAGCAGATGATGCATTGTAAGAGGTTCAGCAAAACTGCCTCTTACAATGAGATTTTGGAAAAATGACAAAAAAAGTGTGTCCGGATAACAATAAGTACAGATATTAGGCAGAACAATAAACAATCTAAATATAACTTAGAATTTTATGATGGATGATGAAATAATGGTTTTAGACATTTGGTGTGCCCAAATGCAGCATTGGTCAACTGAATTAGTGCCCAGCCTGGGTTGATTGATTTTGATTAAGCACCATATCCAGTGGACCAAGTGCTAACTTGAACTCTCACTGTTCACACCCTTCCAAGCAGCCAGGTAGCGGCAATGCCACATGCCACACCACATGTGGCGTGGCACGCCCATCATTGTCACATGCCAATGATGCCCAGCCAATAAAAAAATAAGAAAAATAAAAAAATGATGCCCAGCCAGTGAAGCTCTGCTCACCTGGCTGAGCTTCCTGGAGAGGTCGTTGGTCAGGCACTCCTCCTCCTGCTCGTAGTTGATGGCCAGCGTCTCCTTCTCCTTCTTCAGTGCCTGGATCTTCTTCAGCAGAGTGTTGCTGATGAACTCCTCCTCCTGCTCGGCTCGAGCTTGCTGTAGAGCAAAGGGAAGCATTGAAAATTCATAGTGGGTCATGTGATGTTGCTTATCACAACAACTGAAAAGAAACTGCTGGAAGGAATCTGATACAAACTCCGAAAGCCAGCAACACTCCAAGACATAATCACAGAAAGCACTTGAATAACAGGAAAATGCTACTTACTATGTTCACTGAAGCCTGTTTCAAAGCACGGTTTTCTTCTTGCAGTCCCTTCACCCTAAGCTTGTATGTATCAAGTTCAACCTTCAAGACGCGGTTCTGTTGAGCGAGGGACTCGATTCTCTTCTGCAGCTGCTCTCGAGTGATGGGCGATGGCGGCATTAAAATTGACCCACCATCTACTGAGCCCGAGTCGCTCTCGCTCGCACTGTCCGCCATTGCAAAATAAATATCAAAATGAAATTATTTTCTTTACATCGATCCCTTGCAGTACAGGGTTCAGCAGACTTGAAAAATCGATTTGTAGACACACTCAGCAATGGAACAAAATATCACACGCTTACAGGGAAATCTTCAAACAACCATCACAGCCCACACCCAACAAATTGAATGGAGAATTGCGGGCAGGTCCAATAGAAAACAAATTGTTTAGAATCTGCGGCTCGCAGCATGGCATGAAATCATTGAATGAAATCATTGAAATGACTTCAATGATACGGAAAAGACAAAGATTGACGCACCTGTGACAAACACTAAGAGAGACAGGCTACATAAATTAAAATGCCTGCCACGCATGTCTAAAACATAGTGCAAAAAAATATTATTCAGATATTAGCAATTACAGCCGCAGAAAAAAAAACATCGGAATATAATTCCAACGCCACAAATATAAAAACATTTAGCTTTTAGGGACCAGATGTAAAGGCCTTCTGGCGCGATGGACTCGAGGCCTCTGGCCATGGACTCGGTCTCGATCTCGGAAAGCATCACAACCACATCAACCATAAATGAACACCTTATTGTCTTATTGTTCTCATAGCTCATAGCTCAGGTACTGACAGACAAAAAGGGAAAATTCTGCCCTTTGAGAGACTGAGTGGAGTCTGGGGGAGAAGGAAGACGGCAGGTAAATCATGTTCAATTTTGTTCCGAGGCTCGCCCCGTCAATGGGCATTGGGCCGGGGGGGGGGGGGGGCAGGCGGCAGCGATCGGCGACGGCCAGTGGCGCGGGAACCGGGGGGGCTAGGGGGGCTGAGCCCCCCCAGCTTTTCGGCTGGGGGGGCTCGTAATGTATTTTAGCCCCCCCCCCCCCCCCCAGCTGGAGGAATCGAAATCGGAAATCTACCAACATGATTTCATAGATTCATACATAGGCGTGGGAACCGGGGAGGGGTAGTGGGGGAAGCTTGCCCCCACAACTCTGCGGCCGTGGGGGCGGTGCCCCACAACGTTTCATGAGGCCATGGAACCGTTGGGCAGCTTGTCCTCCCCAAATTAGGGGTTGTGGGTCACAAAGGAAGAAAGCATGTAAGTGAAAAATCCACCTATTTCACTGGCTCGGCAACTCATTTGGCAGATTAAAACCTTTACTCCAGGTTGCCAAAACGGTAGTTTCTTCACTCAGCTGAGACGGAATACCTCACTTTTTGAAAATATTTTCGTTTTTTTTTTTGTTGTTGTTGAAAAGGCGAAGGTCTGAAAAATAAGTGGCCTAAAACCGGTGAGAAAACTAGATTTGGGGGTACCCTAGGTTGATTTCTATTATGGTTCAGCCCCCCCCCCCCCCAGTCTGGAAGAAGTTCCCGCGCCACTGGCGACGGCGGCGAGGCATCGACCTCAGACCTGGTTAACCCGCGCCCGGCTGGGGGTCCTGGATTTCCACGCCCTGCTGGGGGGGGGGGGTATTTGAACACCCCCCCTTGTAACTCGGCTCCTGGGCCACGTAGCGATACGCGGAAGGCGGCGTTCGAAAGAGCGTCAAAAATAATGACGAAATCACTTCGGTCAATTTTTTGGTCAGGTCAAAGGTCAGGTCACCAGAGGTCATAGAAGGCAAAATTTCGCCGATTTCCAGGTCGAATGTCGACAATTTCCAAGAAGCCAACGCATAACTCGGGAACCAATAGAGCTACAGCGCCGCGGAAAAGCGCATTCGATAGCCCTATTAACGCCCTTTCTGAGTAATTCTCTCAGATTTGACCTAACGTCAACGGTTTTGCCTGCAGGGGGCAAAAACTGCAAAAATAGCCGATTTTTTCGGAAATAGTTTTTCTGCAATAACTTTTGACCCAAGCCTTGTACGAGCTTACTTTTACCGGCATCGTGTTCTTCTCGTCAAGACGCATCGAATGAACTATAACTTGACCTTGAAAGGTCAACTTGAAAATTTGACCTCAGGTCAAGGTCATGACCTGACCGGAAAGGGTCATGTTGCATATCAGTCGATCCGTATCGTCGAGCTGAACACATCTAAGGCGTTTTCATCGCTCTAGCATGCCTCTATCAAAAGTTATTTGCGAAAAACTGTTAGATACCATTCGTGACCTAAGATGACCTCAGGGCATAAACAAGGGTCATGGACACCATTTTCATGTTCTGTGTGTCTAAACCACTTGTAATTCGGTGTTTGGGAGTGTTTATAATGTCTTTCGTCCAAAAGAGGCGCATTTCAATTTTCTCCCATTGACTTATAATTATGGGGAGGTCGCAAAATTGACCTGACCTTAGGTCATCGATATCCAAATTCTGAGATATACATTTTGTACATGTTATTGCTCTTAGCAATCGCTGAAAGTTTCAAAGCGATCGGTCACTCGGTGTAGCTATGACAGACATTGAAACTTTTTATGAGGTGAGGTCACTTCAAGTGACCTGGTGACCTGACCTTGAATGACCTTGGTCTGAAATTTTCACAACATGTGTAGAATTGATGTATGATAAGGTGTACCAAAAACGGCGGCGCTCCGCGCCGCCGTTTTTGAGATATTCGCGAAAAACCACAAGGGGGGGGGTGTTCAAACACCCCCCCAGCAGGGCCCGAACCGCAGTCCGCAGAAAGCAGAATGAAACTAAAGAGATGCGTTATGCACGCAGTGCCATCAGTGGCGCGGGAACCGGGGGGCTAGCGGGGGCTGAGCCCCCCCCCCCAGATTTTCGGCTGGGGGGCTCGTAATGTATTTGAGCCCCCCCCCCCCCCCAGCTGGAGGAATCGAAATCGGAAATCTACCAATATAATTTCATAGATTCATTAATAGGCGCGGGAACCGGGTGAGGGGGCAGTGGGGGAAGCTTGCCCCCACAACTCTGCGGCCGTGGGGGCGGTGCCCCACAACTTTTCATGAGGCCAGGAACCGTTGGGCAGCTTGTCCTTCCCAAATTAGGGGTTGTGGGCAACAAAGGAAGAACGCATGTAAGTGAAAAATCCACCTCTTTCACTGGCTCGGCAACTCATTTGACAGATTAAAACCTTTACTCAATGTTGCCAAAACGACAGTTTCTTCAATCAGCTGAGACGGAATACCTCACTTTTTTTGCATTTTTTTCGTTTTTTTTTTTGTTGTTGTTGTTGAAAAGGCCAAAGTCTGAAAAATAAGTGGCCTAAAACCGGTGGGAAACTAGATTTGTGGGTACTCTAGGTTGATCTCTATTATGGTTCAGCCCCCCCCCCCCCCCAGCCTGGAAGAAGTTCCTGCGCCACTGCCAGTGCCCAGTGCCATCCTCGCCCAGAGCCTACACCGGACTTGCACCGGACTGCACCGGACTTGCACCGGACCGAGAGCGAGACCTTCCGTGCTCGGAGGAGGTCACCCTGTCCTGGCTCCTGCAGTGTCGCTTTTACCTACGGACCGGCTAAGTGGCGGCTTCCTTTGGGCCCTGAAAAGAGGCAAACACTACACCGATTGGACATCTTCTTGGGCCCACTCTTCCGGAAGAACAGAGCTGAAGACAATGTCTCGTCTCCTATCATCTAGCCGAGCATTCAGTCAGTCCTAGTCGCGACGACCCGAGATGCCGGCTCTGAGTTGTCATTGAGCTGCCTTTGACCTTCCTCTTCTTCAGACCTCAGTCCTCAGAGACCGGCAATTCAATTTTATTTTTCTAAAGAGAGAGAGAGAGAGAGAGAGAGAGAGAGAGAGAGAGAGAGAGAGAGAGAGAGAGAGAGAGAGAGAGAGAGAGAGAGAGAGAGAGAGAGAGAGAGAGAGAGAGAGAGAGAGAGAGAGAGAGAGAGAGAGAGAGACGTCACAGACAGACAGACAGACAGACAGACAGACAGACAGATGATAGGTACTAGACAGGTATGAAAATCAGTACTTATAGGTCACACCTTGGGATTGGATGCTCTGTTGGAGTCGTTGGGATTTGGGAATATTCATTCAGAAACCCGACAAAAGTGAGTACCTAAGAAGCGCGAAAGTGGCTACGGAAAGTGTCATTAGACAGAACAGAAAACGGTGCGAAAGCACAGAAAGGCCACGGATGGCCTGATGGGCATACCTAGTACCTACCTTAACCTACCTATGACGTTTTAGCCACTAGAAGGAAAGGCCTGCATGCAGTGACAACAGCGATTTTATTCACCGCATACTTTTTTGAAGAGTAGGCTGTAATAGCGTCTTCATTACAAGGGAAAGTTTACCCGAGGTAACTTCCCGACAATCACCATGCATATTCCATCATCAGACGAGCACATAATATCGTCTTGGGCTAGTCCAGGCCCATGTCGTCCCCTATCTCCGCGTGTGTCCACTAACACGAATGACGTCACGCATGTGGGCGGAGCTATGGGCGGAGCCTAACGCACGCGGCAGTCCAAGCCGCTATATTTGAATTTATATTTTAATAGAATCTTGCCGATATTTTGGGTGAAGTCAATTTATATGGATAGCTTGGTGACAGTTTAGCTATACGAATAATATATTTATTATGGATGTGCGTATATTCAGCTTGGAATTGCAATTAAAGTTCCGCGCCGCATAGATTCGAACTCGGGACCTTTGGAATGCTGCGCGGGCACGCTAACCACTACACTACCGCGACCGCGCGGCGGCCGGCGGCAGGGAGGCTGCGGAGACATGGGGGGACATTTTACGCTTTTGTGAAAAAAGCAAAAGTTTTAGCGAAAAACACGTAATAGATAACTTGCAGAAAATTGTCTGCTCTTCCAGATAAGATACTTAGGTTTGATATATCTTGTGCAGACTTCATTCTACAGTGCTTCGAAAATCGCTCATTTACATGGGGATTGAACGGGGCTTCGAGACTTGACTCCAAATGACGTCACGAGCTGACGTCACGAAAAGGTAGAATCGCCGGACGACCCTACCTGGTATATAGGGCCTTGGGCTAGTCTAAGGAAACGCCAACTTACACGTAGAACGTTTATTGTTCTTAGTACCTGTTTTCCAACCAGTTTCATGTCTGCTCGTCAGCTTCGGATTTTCCTCTGCGGAAAGAACAGCCGCGATGCCACAAAAATCGCTACCACGTGCTGAAATCATATGGCCTACTTCCTTCTGTCTGCGGCCGTGACGTTGACACAACACATGACGTTGAAGTAACGTCAGCAAATGGCAACGACCCGGACTCTAACCCTGTCAGCGCTGATATAAATTGCCGCCGCGACGCAGACGGGCACACTGGCACCGGTGGCACGGGGAACACGCCGCACCCGCAGCGCTGACGGCAACTTCAGTCGCTCGGGCCATCAGCAGCAGCAGGTTTACTGGCTCAAGTCATCACATTCGCCTTAGGCAAGTTTGTTCTTCTGATAATTTCTTCACTGGCAGGCGCGTCATCAGTCTTGGAGATTTCTTTGTCTTCATCAGTTCATCGAGTTTACCAGCTTGAAGATCTTAACTCTGCCGTCAAGA